ATGATGGATGGATGATAGATGATGGATGATGGGTGGATGATGGATGGATGATGGATGATGGATGATGGATGATGGATGGATGATGGATAGATGATGGATGGATGATGGATGATGGATGGATGATAGATGATGGATGGATGATGGATGATGGATGGATGATGGATGATGGATGGATGATGGATGGATGATGGATGATAGATGATGGATGATGGATGATGGATGGATGATGGATGGATGATGGATGGATGATGGATGATGGATGGATGATAGATGATGGATGATGGGTGGATGATGGATGGATGATGGATGATGGATGGATGATGGATGATGGATGATGGATGGATGATGGATAGATGATGGATGGATGATGGATGGATGATGGATGGATGATGGATGATGGATGGATGATAGATGATGGATGGATGATGGATGATGGATAGATGATGGATGGATGATGGATGGATGATGGATGATGGATGATGGATGGATGATGGATAGATGATGGATGATGGATAGATGATGGATGGATGATGGATGGATGATGGATGATGGGTGGATGATGGATGGATGATGGATGATGGATGATGGATGGATGATGGATAGATGATGGATGGATGATGGATGATGGATGGATGATAGATGATGGATGGATGATGGATGATGGATGGATGATGGATGATGGATGGATGATGGATGGATGATGGATGATAGATGATGGATGATGGATGGATGATGGATGGATGATGGATGATGGATGATGGATGGATGATGGATGGATGATGGATGATGGATGATGGATGGATGATGGATGATGGATGATGGATGATGGATGATGGATGGATGATGGATGGATGATGGATGATGGATGGATGATGGATGGATGATGGATGATGGATGATGGATGGATGATGGATGATGGATGATGGATGGATGATGGATGATGGATGGATGATGGATGATGGATGAATGATGGATGATGGATGATGGATGGATGATGGATGATGGATGATAGATGGATGATAGATGATGGATGATAGATGATGGATGATGGAGTCAGTTGTAGTCCACACTCACTCACTCACACACACACACACACACACACACACACACACACACACACACACTGTTGACTCCGCCCTCTCTCCGCTCGCGCTAGTCAGAAACAATCAAATACCCGACTTCCGGTAATTTATTTGAAAATAAAAGCCTTTTAAAGTAAGATTTATTAATTAATACACACACACATCTCTCTCTCTCTCTCTCTCTCTCTCTCTCTCTCTATATATATATATATATATATATATAAATATATATGATGGATGGATGATGGATGGATTATGGATGTATAATGGATGTATAATAATATATATAAATATATATATATATATTTATATATATATATATATAAATATATATATATATATCTATATATATATATCTATATATATAGATATCTATATATACATTTATATATATGTATATATAAATGTCTATATCTCTCTATATATATGTATATAGATATATAGAGAGATATAGACATTTATATATAGATATGTACATGTAGATACATAAATCCTGTAATTATTGTTGCTCGTACAGCACACAATAATATTAATTACAACAATATAAACCCATCTAATATACAATAAACTATATAATCATTACATTTATACTTTTCTCACAACCTTTTTCCTTTCATAAATAAATAACGAGAAAGCAACAGTAACAACTAAACTAGAAATGATGAATGATAATAATATTGATGATAACATGTGAATAATGAAATAAATAAAAAATACTAATTTAAACTAAAGCTGTAAACTATTTGCTGTTTATTTTTTCTCATTGTTGAAGTTTTTATTTCTTTTATAAAACATAAAAGAATACAATCATTCAAACACATCTTCACATAAGATAAGACTTTATTGATCCCACTCTGCAGAGATTCAGATACAACACAACAGAAATACACATCAAATAAAAAATAGAATAGAAAAATACAAGATATAATGAAAATAGAAATAAGTAGAATAGAAGTTGTATGTAAAGCTTTTTATATACAGATGTGATCGATAGGGAACATAGCAGATTATTTTCTACTGTCTACAAATGTTTTTGTTTGTTTATATAACTGTACATAGTGTTTATTGTTGTTATTATTGTTGTTTATTTACACTCTATCTGTGTTTGTACACTGAGAGCAACATAAAAACACACCCAATAAAAGATTCTGTTATTTTTGAACTTTTATTTTGGAAGGCTAACGCTCTCCACTTCCCTGATGACGTCGCCTAGCTTGACGTAGCTGCCTCCCAGTTGGTCAGTGAGGGCTCGCGACTGCAGTTCGGTCTGACGTCCGGGCGGCTGCGCGTGCTGCCGAACCTGGCTGCGGTATATAAAAGCGGCCGGAGATTCCAACGGTCGACCCGCTGAGAACCGTTCAATCCTCCCGCCACCGGCACCGTCCCGTCCCCCGCTCCCTCCCTCACACACACGGTCCAGGCAGGGGAGACAGGAGGCGCGGGGGTCCAGTGCGAGGACCCGACCAGCATGGACCCCCAAGCGAAGGACAGAACCAACCCGGCGACGACGGGGGGCTTCAGCGGGCGTCTGGCCTCTCTGGGAGCCGACGGAGGCGACTCGGAGTCCGGCGCCGGCTCGGAGGAGGCTGCGGTGGGCTGCTGCAGCGACACATTCAGCAGCCTGCCCGACATGGAGAAGGAGACTCTGGAGGAGAAATTAAGAGGACTGGCGTTCAGAAAGCAGACCTCGTATCGGTGAGTGTGTGTGAGTGTGTGTGTGTGTGTGTGTGTGTGGGGACTGGGAGGATGCTGGGACAGGATACTGGTCTGAGGAGGATGTGCTGGTCTGTGTTTGTACCTATTCTTCATGTTTATCTCACATATTGTGAGCTAATGCTGCTGGAAGAAGCTACATAAAGCTTATAAACACACACACAGAGAGAGAGAGAGAGAGAGAGAGAGAGAGGGGGATTACAGTAGAGGGTGTAATGCTCATTTTAAAGCTGAATTATATTTATATGAATATTAAATGTATATAAACATATTCTGGTTCAGGCTATCGTGCTGTTACCACCCTCATCATGGCATTGTTACACACAGAGCAGCTTTATAGCTCATGTCAGTGCTGGATCAAAGCATTTGCATACAGCAATGTGTGTGTGTGTGTGTGTGTGTGTGTGTGTGTGTGTGTGTGTTTCCCTTAGGGCTGCACAATATGGTAAAGTCATATAAATTGTACATATATATGATTCAGGAGTTGTGTGAATGTTAATTTCCAGTGTAAAAACAACGTACCAGAAGCCCATTTATGTGCCATCTGTTGTGTTCTTACATCAGTTGATGGAGCTTCAGTGCTTCATCGTAACGCCGCTGTTACTCGTCTTCATCAAACAAACTGCGGCTTCTTGTGATTTGGATAATATTTAAATTAATTGTGCAGGCCTGATTTCCCTGTGGTGCTGTAGCTCTGTTGTGTCGGAGCATGTGAAGGGGGTTAGTGTTGTGTGTGTGTGTGTGTGTGTGTGTGTGTGTGTCGGGGGGGTAGAGAAACAGTATTGATTTATGGGCTGTGTGTGTGTGTGTGTGTGTGTGTGTGTGCCAGCAGCAGCCTGACACCCCGGTGCGACTGGCAGCTGCTGTTGATAGTGAACGCTGGCCCGAGACCAAACACTCACAATCACACAGCAGTTTTGGTTGTCAAATGTTGAGGATGTGAGACATCTATCAGTCATTCTGTCTGTCCTCGCTCTGTCTGTCTGTCTGTCTGTGTGTGGCAGCCTTGTCGTTTGGAGGTCAAATCAATCATTTAAACTGAGTCTGATTGACTTGTTTGTGTCTGATTTGAGGCAAAGCAACAGTTTGTCTCCAGAATCGCCCGAATCCAACCGACAACAACGGGACGTTTGTTCATTTTTGACTAATTTTAACAGAAACGTGGTGATAAGGTCACAGTTTCTGTTTGTATTTCACACTTTGGTTTCCACTCTCTGACGTCCGATGACTAAAATCCTTCATCCGGTTCAAATCTAGAGTTAAAAAGCACCAAGATCTAAACAGTGGATGTAACAATGTGGCTTCACACTGGATCAACAGTCAATGTGTGACAGCTTCTGGCAGACAACCACAACGCTGACGCAGGCACAAAGGGGATATGACGCCATCGACAGGCGACCGGTGAAACGCAGCGTTACCTGAATAAAATGACAGATTTCTCTGAGTTTGAACATTGTTGGAAACATTTGGGATAATGGAAGAACTCAACTACATATAGAACATAGAGCCAGAGCTTATACACTGTTTAATGAGAATATTATTACAGATTGGAGCTTTAATTTGAAAAAAAAACTTTAAAAAACTGAAATATATTCTCTAATTTACAATTTAAGGCTATATTCAATAAATAAATTGAATTAAATGTGAAATACGGTTCATATTTTGTTAAAATGGAGTCTTTTATTTCAGCAACCCAATCAGATTATACATGCATCATGTAAACACATTAAATCAGAATAAAGTGGCCATTTGGGAAGGAAATCCCTGTCATTTGTTAAAGGGATGGTACAGTATAATCCTATTAGGATCCATTTGACCGATCATTATTTGTCCTGTTGATTATTTTCCATCGGTTTTGAAGACTCGCAGTCTACACCCACTTGAGTTCCACTGTGAGGCGAAAGCATCAGGGAGGACTCGCCACTCTTTCTATTTTATTGTGTCATCATTTACTCTCTCTCTCTTCCTCTGGGTGTTTTCCTCCTCAGGGGGGAAGCATTTCTGGTTAAGTGAGGTTTCCAGGAGATTGTTCATCACTGGGAGTGCCGCAGCTGGGTCGCCCTCACCAGCTTTATAACTGCAGCAGGAGTTTGTTCTGATAGATCTGTTGCCTCGGTCGGGGGGAAAAAAGTGGATTTGTTAGATTGTGCACGTCAAAAAACCTGATTTGATTTATTTAACTGTGAGTACAGGGTGTGTTTGGGGTGTGCTGGTCAATCCTCAGCTGCAGATGCACTCAAATCTTCCAGTTTATTGCAGCCAACACTCGCGTATTCAAATCCAGTCAAATATGAATGTTTGCAAAGATGGTCACAGTCTGCACGATCTCACTGTGAGAGAGTCAGGAGTTAATATAAGAGCCAGAATAGTTCTTGTTTCTGTAAATGCATCGTAACCCTTTAACTCTGGTGTGTCTACATTGGTATTTTAATATGATCCATATCACTATAATCTGTACAAGGTGAGCTGAAAGGTTATATAAGTTAATAAAACATAATAATGGAAAAAAATATTCAAAATAAATTTAAAAAATACAGAAAATTGGTTTTATCATCAAATCTTATTAAATAAAAAAGGGACATAATGAAGATTTCTTGCGCGTCAGATTACGAGATCGATACCACTCTCATATCTGTACGATAAATGCTAGCATAGCTTAGCATAGAGACTGGAAACACAGGGAGAAAAGCTAACCTTGCTCTCAGCTAACCAAGACTGTTTGATTCATCAGTACAAAATCTGACAAAGTTGTAGTTGTGGGGATAAAGGTTTGTCATTGGCTTTAAAGGCAGTGTTTCCTTGCCCTTGTCTCCAAGGTCTTGCTCATGGTGGTACTGTTGGGTCTCTGTAAATAATGTTTTAAAGACTTCGGTCTAGACCTGCTCTATTTGAAAAGTGTCCTGAGATAACTTCTGTTATGAATTCTATACAAATAAAATTGAATTGATGCTGATATTTAAAGAGCAGGACAACCAACGGCTGATATCAAAACAAAGTATAATTCCATTATTTAATGGACATATTGCTCTAATATTCATGTTATCTTAGCCAGTAAAATGTTGTTTTAGATTACATTTTTATTAAGTAATCAAATATAAAAATCACATTGGGTTATGCTGTAGATTTCACAACGTGACATTATTATACCATATATATAAATATATATAATATTAAATAATAACCAGTAACAGGTAGTTATTAGATTAGTTATTTTTGGTCATTCAGGAGAAAAGTGTAGAAACCACGATGGTGACTGAGGAACCGATGTTTGACACTTACAGTAACTTCTGCAGACACTTTAATGTTGATCAGCCGTCCTTGATCACTTCATAACTAATCAATACATCTATTAGTCCTGGAGTCTCTGCTGGTTGCCTGGCAACTGCACGCTGAGGCTCAATTTGACATTTTCCCAAAATATCAATCTCACTCACTCGAGGCTTAATATTGCTGCTCTTCATATTAATCTCTTTCTATGGATATTGATTGGAAGATGAGTCGGGGTGATAGCAAGCTCTCTGGGGGGAAATATGGTGACCGGACAAGATTGGAGGAATATTTTCCACCCGTATCGCCCTCCACTCTGTTGGCTTTTCCACTGGTTTCAGTCCGCTGCTCGTTTATTTACTGTAAACGGCTTCGCTGGAATCCCCAGTTGGATTAATTTCATTTGGAAAGAGAACATTTGGCTCCTGTAAGTGCAGCCATTGTTTGTTATTATCCACAACAATGTATTCTGCTGAAAGAACGTTTTACTATTAATGAGGAAGTGGTTTGTACACAGTGTCAGAGAGTAGATTCTGGATTTAACTGTACTTTTAATCCTCTACAGTATGTTAATTGTACGTTAGCACTGGAGGAATTTTAATTACAGCAGATAAATCTGTCTGTGTCTTTCTCTAGCTCCTCTGGCTGTACATCATAATCATAGAGACACTCATTAGTGTCAGTTACACGCCATGTCTTGGTGTTGTTTTGACCTTTGACCCAATTGGACAAAGCTATGGATAAATCCATGAATTTTCCCTCTTTGTGGACTTGTGTGGAGGAAATGGCATTAATCCGGTCTGGAGAGAAGGTTTGTAGGAAGGTAGTTTACATAGCTTTGAAGTGGCCAGTGCCAAGAAATGAATTACCATATGTGGCAATATGAAAGAGCTGAGAAATGATGGCGTTGGACATCAAAGACAGCGTGTGTGTGTGTGTGTGTGTGTGTGTGGTTGTGGTATTATGTGTAAGGCATGTGTAACGTATCTGCCAGACATTGGTCGTCACACTTTGTGTGTCTGTTCCAAGAAAATACCATCCCTCCTATTATCTATTCTTAGCTGGCCTCACTGTCGGCCTGCATGACAGTCCTCAGTCAGAGAGACAGTTGCTTTGTGTGTGTGTGTGTGTGTGTGTGTGTGTGTGTGTGTGTGTATCACGCCAACCAGTTAGTCAGCACGCCAGTTAGTCTGTAAGACATTACTTCAATTAGCCAGTCAGTCAACCAGCTGGTCACTCAATCTGTGAGCTGTTTGTCCGGCACTTCCTGTCTGTCTGTGACTGGGAATCTTTCATAACGCCTTACTTTGATACCACTTCCTCAATAACACCTAATTTTATGAAATTAATGTAAAAGAAAAGAGATAATACATTAAAGCTACAGGCAGCGATCAACAGGCTCTGATCGATTCACTGGGAGGAGTTTATAAAGAGGTTAATCTTACCATGTATGTACAATGACCTTAGAACGCCTAAAAACAACATTTACCCAAAGTAAATGAAAAGCTGTTCTTCAACCATTCACAGCTGTTCATTGGCATTTACCTATGTGCTCATGTAGTGAGTGGATATAATGAACCTTTGGCAATGACACAGGACGAGTGGTGAGTTGGCTCAATTTTATGATTCGCTAGTTTGAGGCGCCGATTGTGGCTGCTGTTGTGGTTGTATCCCAAACGCGTTTTGATCAATAAATAGACGAGATTCTAAGCTTT